CCTCCTCGCCTTAGAGCATCTTTTGCCTTCTTCTGTCCCTATGGCCTCTTTGGGGCTTCGGACTCTAGGGGTGCAATCTCAATGACATCTTCAGTGATGTTGACTTGTACATTCATGGGAGTGGAGTCCTGGGCGAACCTTCTATTTCTTCTTAGCGGCTTGCTTTAGGTCGGCCAGTTCCCTCCTCTTGGCTTTCCACTTCTCTTCATCCGTCAAAATGTTCCAGCAATGCATCAGAGTAAATGTCTTATCACTATTCATTCCTTTGAACATAGTTAATGCTTCAGAAACCTGCAAACATATGTGTTTACTAAATATCAACGTGTGTGCTCTAAGATTAATGAAATATGAAAAAAAATACATTAACACTAACCTTGTCTTGAATGGTTTTTCCACTTTGATTTCTACGGTCAATCGCATCATAGCAGGCACAATACTTGTTGACATTCTCCAAAATATACATCCATCTATGTATTAGTGAACTCTCTGTTCGGCTTGCAAATGACTTACTGTGGGTCTCATAGTAATCAGAAATTCTACGCCAAAACGAGGCATAAGACTGATTAGCACCTTGCACGGGATCTTTGCTTACGTTCAACCATGCCAAGACAACAATTTTATCCTCGTCCAGAATGGAATTTGTTTTGACTCTTGGCGCTTGGCCTTGGAACGCGTGGGCGTTTACCACCAGCACTGGACTGCATTTCTACAACTTCAACACCTGCTGCTACCTGCACTTCATCTTCTTCAAGACCAGCTCGTACCTGCACGTCCTCATATGCCTTCGTTTCCTGTGTCATGGGAAAGCTGAACTCGTCCAAAAAACAAATACCTTCAAATCCCGTGACCAAGTTTGTCCAATATCCACCACCAGACATTGCGAGAGCCTGCAAATATGGATAAAGAAAACAATACCAAATGCCATGTAGAAGCAAATTATGTTCACAACATCATAACCCTAAGAATCTCAAAGTAATATTTAAAAAAAACAATCTGAAAGTAATGTTAACAACATCATAACCCTAAGAATCAGAAAGTAATATTCGCAAAAAAAACAATCTAAAAGTAATGTTAACAACATCATAACCATCACAACCAAGAAACAGTACCATGCCAATAGTACCATGCAAGCAGTAGTGCAGCACGTACAGGCCATGAGCACGTACACGCCATCAGCAGGCCAGTAAAGCAGTAGACGGCCATCAGCACGCAATCAGATAGCAGCAGCCGGCCATCAGCAAGGAAACCAGATACCAGCAGAAGGCCAAAACCTAACGACGGCCAATCCCGGCGGCGGCAAGAAGCACACAGCCCGACGTGGACGCCAGTAATCCCGACGGCGACAAGAAGCACACGACCGGCTGCGGGCAAGGCAAACCTAGCGGCGGCGGCGGCCAGCAGGAAACCATGGCGGCGGCGTCACAGAAACCCCATGGCAAAACGATTTGATCGGACTATGTACCTCCTGAATCTTCCGCGGCGGCGTCGATCGAGGTGCTGGAGGAGCGGTGTCTCTGCTGCGGCGATGGAGGAGCGATCTCTCTGGTGCGGCGATGGAGGAGCGATGTAGGGCTGATCTCGGCGATGGAGAAGAAGCGATGGAGGAGAGCGCGCGAAGGGAGACAAGGCGCGGCAAAAGAAGGCGGACGACGGGAGAGACCGCACGAAGGGAGAGAAGGCGCGGGAAATCACGGCGCGAAGGAAAATTTGGTGCCGAGGGAAGGATTGGCTCGGTTTTTCCAAAGTGCGTAAATTTTAGGAGTTAAGATTAGAAGTTGTTGGAAATGTTTTTTCTCATCTTTTAAAAATCAAGGATTAGGATGGGGTTTAGTGAACTCTTGGAGATGCTCTCACCTCTGTCTCACTCTCATTTTTCTCCTTTCTCCTAGGTTTTCTTCCTCCCCTAGTGTTCATGAGAGAAGTCCTAAATCTAAATATTTTATGGTGTATTCTCTGAGATTTGGAACGGGAAAGAGGCATGAATACTCCTCATGCCCTCTGGAATTCGTCACTTTTACGTGTGATTTTGTTCCCGTACGTTTCATTTTTTTCTCCATTTTCGCAGTTGTTTCTGTTCTTGGCCACGATCTGATTTTTTCGGGTTTTGGGTCAATCCCAGGGGATGATTTCTTCGGGATAGGTCTGTACCAAGTTGAATTTCATTTGACCAAAGTTTGGGAGCAATTCCTTTTGATTTGAGTCGGATTTCTTCAGTTTTCTTGCCGCCCTCTTCTCTGTTCTTTTGCTCGGTCTACTGCGCGTTCGTCGCAGATGAGGCCAGGCAGCAGCGCTACCAGCGCCGAGCGCTTTGCGCCGTGCGCGCTCATCTGAGCGGTGCTCGCTCTTGGTCCAGGTGCCCGAACGACCGGTGAAGTCGCGACCTCCTCCATCCGTTCGTGCGTCGCCCAGGTCCGGTTCCCTGCTCTCCCTCCGTTCATTCTTTTTCTCTGTTCTTGTGGTCGGCTTGTGTTCATCGCTTGGAGGAGAAGTGCAGGGGATGCCAGCGCCCCACTCGTCCAGCGCCTAGCGCCCAGCCCGGCTCGGCCCCTAGTCCCCTCGCGTGGGTGCAGCAAGCGCGTCAGGCCCTGGCCCTTCGTGGCCGCCTATCGAACACCGAGTCGAGCCTAGCGCCGTGCGCTCGCCCAGGCTCATGGCTGTTCCCCAGCAGGTGCCGTGCAGTACTCTGTGTGTTCGTTGCCTCCCTGTGTTCGTTGCTATGTGAGTCGGATTCTTGGGAGAGCACTGCTGCTGTATCGATTTGCAAGTGAATCGATTTCCTCTCTCTGTATTCGTCCGTGCTCTGTCTTCCCTCTGTTCTGATTCGTTGCCGACACGAGTGCAGATTCAAGCAAGTGACCGTGAGCAAGCAGCTGCTCCTTGTTCGGTGGATTTTTGCAGCAACGTGATTTGCTTTTGTAAATCCTGAATTGTCACTTTCATGCTACAGGGAGCATTCATGGCATGCTAATTAATTCCAGTGATGTGCATGTAATTGTTTTGGGCTCCCAATATTTCACGTGCTCGCTATTTCGTCCGCGGACTGCGTGTGATTCGCGATCCGTTTTTTTGCGTTGGTTTTCCATTGATTGAAAGAACTTACATGGGTACTCTCGTCACCAGTTGGCTTGGGTATTTTAGATTCAGGAACTCACTTCTTCTCAATAGGAGTTGAGTAGCCTATTTTCTATTCCTCGATTCGGTGTAAGTTCTTCGCAGTTGCGTGTTTGGCGGTGATTTTGGGAGAGTGGTCGAAAAGTTTCGAAAGAAATTTACAGCTCTCATTCACCCTCCTCTGGTTGTCGTTTTTGGTCCTTCGTTATTTTCGAACATAATTGAGTGGTACTTAGTATAGATGAAAGATCATAGATGGACTGAACACTTGCAAAGGCCATTATGAGAGAATTTTTTTCAGGCAATGGAATACAAAGGGAGTGATTTGTTGGTAAATCTCAGTTCTTGGACACTCCTGATAGGTACAGCCATTTCATCCCTGCACGCTGACCCACTGCTATGCGCCTATGCCCGGAATCAAGCTGCACGCAATGATCGAGGACGACGTCTAGTAAACTGCCCGCTGATATTTTGTTGTCTACTAGTCACTTGATCAAATTAAACGTGCATCAAGACCAAACTAAAAAACAGAGCCCTGAAATCAAACTAGTAGCAATTCTGTCATGTTTCGATTGATTAGGGGCCAAGTTAGCATGGTACTACTAGGTAGTAGCATCAAGTTTTATACTACTACTTGCAGCTTGGTAGCTTCCCAAATGCCAATGAAAAATTAACCACCCATGGGTGACAAGTTGCTCAGGCTAATGCACGATTCAAGGATAACTACTGTCGACAAGCAAACAAGACATGTGCCAACTTTTCTTGGTCTAAAGTTCAGTCTTATCTTTCTTCAGGTTTCCAACTCACCTATCCAAGCACTGTCACGCATGCATGCTCGGGTAAAAAGTGAATTAAACTGCTGCATGCATCTCCCACCTAGTACAAACTTTTGAACTAATTGCTACTTTTTTTTTCAATACGGTATTCCCTTCGTCTGTCGTTTTCTCTTTCAGAAAAAGCAACTTTTACTAAATATATAAAATAATAATAATATTTATTGTACAAAATTAATATCGTTAGATAGATCGTTGAATCTATTTTTATAATAAATTTATTTTGAGATACAAATATTGCACGTAGTTTCTATAAATCTACATAAACTTAAACAAGTCTGTCTACTGAACAACCATGTGTTTTATGTAGTTTCAACACATGATTTTTTTACATCATAGAATTAAGATCCAATAGCCTCCACTCTCCTTCTACCTTCAGTCTCACCTCCAGACAATCACAAATCACAAGATCACAGATCCACAGATCATAAGAAATAATTTTTTTTCTATGGAATGACAAATCACAGAGGAGGAAGAGGAGAGGCCTACTAGCACCACGCGACAGACCGAGTGTGTCACGGTGCGGTGCGCAGGTTCATTGGAGGACATCACGGTGCAGCACGGTGCGGGCGGGGGCGTCAGCAGAACGTCAAGGTGCGGGCGGGTGCGCAGCTTCGTCGGAGGACGCGTGCGTCAGTAGAACGGAGGGAAGGAGAGAGAAAAAATACATGTGTTTTTTTTTTTAAACATATGTGTGATGTATAACATTTCTGTAAACTTATAGCATGGGAAAAAAAGAATAATATTTATTCACGTTTCCTATCTACCAGGTGACTGAATTTTTTAGTCCCGTTCAGACGATGTAGCTATGCTGCTTGCTTCCTTCTTTAGCCCAACCTGCAGACCACCGGCGCCAGCCATTCCATCAAATCCAACGACTGTAAAGCATCAAAGAGATTGATTAATTTTCAGGCACATGTAAATTAGCATCTCCCATGGTTATTTAGGGATAGGGGAGTATAAATTACTGTCATGTGTGCCATCCATAGAACCAAGCACGGCACTGCTGTGACCGCGACTGCGACAGAGGACACTCCGCGAGCAGCTAGAAAGGCCATGGCCCCCGCGACGGCATTCGCGTTCGCGGTGCAGGTGCTGCGGGGCCGGTGGTTCATGGCGTACGGCTCCTTCCTCATCATGTCGGCCGCTGGCGCCACCTACATCTTCGCCATCTACTCCAAGGACATCAAGTCGACGCTCGGGTACACGCAGGAGCAGCTCAACACCGTGGGATTCTTCAAGGACGTGGGCGCCAACGTCGGCATCCACGCCGGCCTCATCGCCGAGCTCTCCCCGCCATGGCTCGTCCTTGCCATCGGCGCCGCCATGAACCTCGGCGGATACCTCATGCTCTACCTCTCCGTCACGGGCCGCGCCGGCCACCGGACCCCGCCGCTCTGGCTCGTCTGCCTCTACATCGCCGTCGGCGCCAACTCCCAGGCGTTCGCCAACACCGGCGCGCTCGTCACCTGCGTCAAGAACTTCCCCGAGAGCCGCGGCGTCATGCTCGGCCTCCTCAAGGGCTTCGTCGGCCTCAGCGGCGCCATCTTCACCCAGCTCTACCTCGCCTTCTACGGCCCTGGAGGCGGCGCCAGCGGCGACACCAGGCCGCTCATCCTCCTCGTCGGCTGGCTCCCCGCCGCCGTCTCCGTCGCTTTCCTCACCACCATCCGGATCATACGCGCGCCGCGCTCGCCCGTCGCGGTACGCAGGGAGTACCGCGCCTTCTGCGCCTTCCTCTACGTGTCGCTCGCGCTCGCCGCCTACCTCCTGGTCGCCATCGTCCTGCAGAAGCGGTTCCAGTTCACGCGGGTAGAGTACGGCGTCAGCGCCGCCGTCGTGCTGTCCATGCTCCTCCTCCCTGGCTTCACCACCGTCCTGCGCGAGGAGGCTGCTCTGTCCAAGAACACGCCCGACGAAGCGCAGGCAGAGTCATCGCCGGAGTTGTCCCCGGAGGTCACTGTAGACGCGAAGCAGCCGCCGGCACCCCCGCCCGCGACGTCGATGGCGGGTCAAAGGTTGCCGCTTTCGCTTCGTCCGCCGCCGCGCGGCGAGGACTACACGATCCTGCAGGCGCTGGTGAGCGTGGACATGCTGCTGCTGTTCACGGCGACGGTGTTCGGGGTGGGCGGCACGCTGACGGCCATCGACAACATGGGCCAGATCGGCGAGTCGCTGGGGTACCCGCGGCGGAGCGTCGCCACCTTCGTCTCCCTCATCAGCATCTGGAACTACCTCGGCCGCGTCGCCGCCGGGTTCTCCTCGGAGGCCTTGCTGTCCCGGCACCGCCTCCCGCGGCCGCTCATCCTTGCCGGCGTGCTCCTGCTCACTGTCCCGGGCCACCTGCTCATCGCGTTCGGCGTGCCCGGGTCGCTGTACGTGGCGTCGGTGGTGATCGGGTTCTGCTTCGGCGCCGCGCAGCCGCTCATCCTCGCCAGCGTGTCGGAGCTGTTCGGCCTCAGGTACTACTCCACCTTGTACAACTTCTGCGGCACGGCCAGCCCCCTGGCGTCGTACGTCCTCAACGTCCGCGTCGCCGGCCGCATGTACGACCGCGAGGCGGCGCGGCAGGGGAAGGGGGTCACGTGCATTGGCGTCCGGTGCTACAGGGAGTCCTTCTTGGTCATCACGGCGGTCACCGTTGCCGCCGTGGTGGTGACGCTGGCGCTCGCATGGAGGACTCGCGAGTTCTACGCGGGAGACATCTACGCCAAGTTCAAGGCGGGAACAACTTGTAGTAGTAGTGGTGGTGCTAATGCCATTGCTGGTGGAGACAAGGTAGAACTGGCAGTAGAACCCAAGGAATAGTTGAACAAGTTATTATTAGAATTCGAAATATGATACTGTATGATCCAAATCCAATCGATGCGTAGTCGATACTCTACTGCGAATCTGCCACTGTGCTGAAAGATATGAATCCTTACCTCCAAGTTCAAATCTTTTCTTTTTTGGCTTCACAAACGCGTGCAACACCTAACTCGCGATTTAAGATTTGAGTTGAATTGTTCTGGTGGTTTCAAGCGGAAGAGCTAATGCTTTAGGTTTTGATGGCAGTCCAGCAGTCCCAACACCAAGCTCAATGAACTTCTGAATGATTTCATTTGGGTTTAACGGGGCAAGAAATTATGCTAGCTCAAATTCTCTGATTTTCGAGTAGAAAAGGCGTGTTTCTGGATAAGACGGCTAGACGCTAAAACCGCACTTTGAAAGTAGGTCAGCGAGTGCATGCATACATCAAGTCAGTAATCATCATGTTCTCCTCCTCACGAAAGGAAAAGGTAGCCCCTTTCTCCGTGTCCTGCCATGTGTAACTCCGCCCTTTCGTGGTGATGGCTCAATGTCAGCTGTCATCACATTCATATATAGAATGATGATTTTTTGTACGATTTCATTTGAATCTTGGTGCTTGAATTGTTGAACATGGTCCATGCACAGTGAAAAATTCCACTTGTTTTTAGCTCCACCATGTTGTTCATGCATCTCTACAACAGAAGGTCCTCATCGGTTTTTTTTTTTCTGTTCAGAGCCAACAGTGTGAGATGAGCAGCTCATTATTTGAGTAAAGAATTGAGGAATCTGAACTGTAAGATCTAAAATTGAGACGAAACTTTGAGGTGAGTTAGAGTTGTAGATTTAGTTGGAAGTTTGGAATTGGACGTAGAATTTGAGTTTCTTTGCTTGTAAACAAAAATAGAGTTTGAGGCTTTGTTTGACAGGTGTTCCTCTCACTCCAGCTTCATGCTACAATGCCGGAGCCGGAGGAGCTACAAAACATGGTTTTGTTTGGGCTCCTAGTTCATTTTTGCTAGAAGGGAGAGAAACAGCTCTTGTGAATAGTGCAGCTACAGTCGCTGTTGCAGGAGGAGCTGGCTCTGCCAAATAGCCAAGTATTTCAGTTTAGAATCTTGGATCCATAGTTGAATCTTTGAAAAATTGAGTATAATCTCATAACTACCTTCAAAGTTAAAAAAAATTGACTTGAAAAGTTTTGCCAGTTGAAAAGGCTTGTTTCTTCATAGGATTAAGGGATGCTTAACACCAAGGTTATTTTTGCCTGTCATCCATTAACGACGTGAACTGATAGCATCATCTCGTATTTGGTTAGGGCAACCCGTAGCCATTAGCAGCGACATCCCATACGGCCCTATAGAACTTCGATAGCGCTCCAGAACCAACATCCGTTCCCTTCCCATCCACTCGATTGCCCCTATGCGAGGCGTCGCGATTCTCTCGCGGGCTCCCTCTGCTCATCCGCACCTCTCTCGCCCACGAGTCATCGCGATTCCTTCATGGCTCCAGCGTCTCCGTTGCCACCGCTCCTCAGTCCGTGTCGATGATGTTGTTGCTCCTTTCCTCTTCGACTACCTGATGATTACATGAGCTAACCAAACAAATTTCATTGTCCCTTAAACTGCAACGAACAGGTCGCAGCGCTATCTGATTACATTGGAGTTTCTGTTTCCCATGCATAAAGCAAACATCAGCCAAGTTTACATACAACATAATTGATGCATATCCCGCAAATAGTTTTAGGGGGTGTTCGGTTGGTTACGTGAAATTTTTTGGGTATCACATCGAATGTGTCGGAAGGATGTCGGGAGAGATTTTTGGATACTGATAAAAAAATAAATTACAGAACTCATCAGGAAACTGCGAGACGAATCTAATGATACTAATTAATCGATCATTAGCACATGTGGGTTACTGTAACACTTAGGGCTTTTCATGGACTAATTAGGCTTAAAAGATTCGTCTCGCGATTTCCAACCAAACTGTGCAATTAATTTTTTTTCGTCTACATTTAATACTCCATGCATATGCCGCAAAATTCGATGTGACATTTTGGGGTGAAATTTTTTTAAAACTAAACAGGGCCTTAGTAGATCTATTCACTCTCTACCCGTACCTAATGTGAACCATCATATGTACTCTCTTTCATCCGGGAAAAGACACAATTCTCTAACATAGTACTAAGGCCTTGTTTAGATACTCTCAAAATTCCAAGTTTTTTCACTCTCTCTCCATCACATCAATTTTTAGCTGTTTGCATGGAGCATTAAATATAGGTAAAAAAATAACTAATTGCACAGTTTAGTTGGAAATCACGAGATGAATCTTTTAAGCTTAGTTGATCTACGATTGGACAATATTTACCAAATAAGACGAAAGTGCTACTATTCATCGGGTTGAAAAATTTTTTAATCTAAACAAGGCCTAAGCTAAAGCATCTTAAGTATGAGAAAACTAGAATTGCATTATTTATCGTTATCTATCTCTAGTCTTCTTCCTTTGGTGATGTTACGGTGGTCAACTGGTCAGACAACGCCCCCATAGAATCATATCATCATATCATATCAAATCTTTAGTTTTTCATCCAGTGTTACTGTTCTACTGTTCAAAGTTACTGTTTTCACGTTTCCCGACTCACGCACGGGCATTCGATTGGTATCCAACAGCAGGCAGGTGCGCATGCATTGCTATCCCCAGAGGCTTCTTGGACCCAGACCTCAACCCTATCTTCTTCACGGCCGCTGTCGTCTCCAGAGACCGCAGCTCCATATGGGCGCCGCAGCTCTGCCTTCGACTCTACCGCCGCCTGCGACCCCCGCTTCCTCACCTCTGTCTTCCTCTCCCCAACTAACGGCGCTTCCTCTCCCCCGGTGGCAGCGCAGGTGGATCTGGCGCCTGGTCCTCCATGTGGCTGCGCGGACGAGTCATGTTGTCTTCTCTTCCTTCCCCCTGGCGGCTACGGGGGCAGATGCGGCGGCCGGACCTGCCGGCGCCTGCGCTGGCTCATGCGGCGGCGGCGGCTGCCCGGGTCGGTGAGCCTTGCCGGCAGCTGGCCGCGCGGATCAGGACCGAGAGGTGGCCACAGTGACGGCACTTGGGGCGCGGGCGGGACCGGTGTGGAAGCGGCGATCAGATGTCGCCCTCATCCTCATCTCCTCCGCCAAGCTTGGGGATCCAGCAGTTCTACCTCGCTGCCGTCCTCGAATACCTCACCGTCGTCCTCGAATACCTCGCTGACCTCCTGACACTAAGGTTTGTGTCCCCTCCTTCTCGATCTGGTTCTTGGGTCTTACTGCTCTTTTACTGCATACAGGATCCACGCAGTGAGAAACATGTTTTCGGGTTCTTGGTAGGTTACTCAGTGTCCATGTCTGTTAGGCCCTTCCTTCTATTGGCAAGCTGTATTGTATTTCTATTGCATGTTGTTGTTACGCAGCCTCGGTTTTCTTTTAACGCGCGATGTGTATTCATATGCTATATTTCCAGGTTCGCGGTGTCTACGTTTGGGTTGCTTCCATTGGTTTCAGAGGATCAGCTGCTGTTTTTTTAAAATTATCGGTGCATAACTTTGCCGCTGCTTCTGACGGTGCATATCGTGGCTATTAGGGTGTAAGCTCGTGGTGCTGCAACCGTTGCTTACTGAATTGTAACAGAGCGGTGATTTAGCTGCGTGGCCCTGTGTTAGTTCTGTGCATTTATGCTGCCAGTACAAACCCCGTTCGGCTGGCTTACCCTATATTCGATTTGTTCAGCTTTTTTTTTTAACTAGAACAATATTTTTTTCTCACAACATTTTAGTCGGAATAGTGTTTTTCAGCCAATTTCAGCCAAGATTCAGCAAGCCGAACGGGGCCAAAGTGTGCTCCTACCTCAGATGCATGTTTATGTGTCAGATTATATGTCATGTTCGCTTGGCTGATAAGCCATGACTGAAAGTATTGTTGACTGATTTGTTATGAGAGAAAAATACTATTCGTTGGCTGAAAAAGTACGGCTTATAAGTCAAACCAACAGGAGATATGTTTGCATCCTTATGTTTGGACAGAGAACTGATGCCGCAGCTATAGCTTTGCTTGCTATATTTGTAGAGTCTTCTTAGTCATATACATGTTCGCGTCTTATTTTGTTTACAGCTTTGGCCTTTTACACAGAATTAGTGCCTTAGCTTTTACTTTCTCCTTGCATTTTTTTGGTCCACTAAAGATTTTTTTTTTTTACCTTCAGTTCTACTAATTTGATGTATTTGTGCTTTCTTTGTCACGCTAGCTCCTTCTAAGTTTGTGATCAGTCTGGTTGATCTCACAGGAGTTTTACTGGTCTCGAATGATTAATATCTGTGCTACGTTTCATACTATCCCTGTCGTTACACAGGATCTTCGGTTTGCCTTGCTCCTCGGGTAATCTGCCTATGCTCTAGCCTCTCTTTCTAATTTTTTATACCTTCGGTTCTCCTAATTTGGTGTATTTGTGGTTTTTAGTCACGCCAGCTCTTGCTACATCTGTGTTCCGTGTGGTTGATCTCAAAGGAGTTCTACTGATTCCGAAGGATTACTCTCTGTGCTACGCTTCATAGTATCCCGGTCATTACACAGGATTCTCTATTTGCCCTGCTACTCAGGTAATCTGCCTATGCGCTAACCTTTCTTTTTGTTTTTGTTTTCTGCATACCTGGTGCCTATTGTATAAGACTCCATCTTCCTCGGGTTATTTTTTTTTCACTCTCCTAGGTACTACTCTCTCCGTCTCATAAAAAGAGTTATTATCGCTTCCTAAAAAGTCAACTATCTTTAACTTTGACTAAATATATATATAACAAAATATTAATATTTATGGTACACAGTTAGTATCATTGGATAGATCTTTGAATATATTTTCATAACAAACTTATTTGGAGATACAAATGTTGCTAATATTTTATACAAATTTAGTCAAACTCAAGAAAAGTTTGACCAGCACGAATCCCATAACGACTTTTTTATGGGACGGAGGAAGTAATTGTTAACAAAACATAAAGAACATTCTCTCAGGCCAAAGCTGAAAGTTACGGTCATAGAAGTACATATTCTCCTTTCATGCTAATTTTGGTTCTAATTGGCACAATGGTATAGTGCTGCCTGTAGCTGCAGACAAGTGTCCGGGCTACAAAGTGCAAGGGCCTTTTCAAATTATTCTGGTATGTTTTTACACCTTCCATTTTATTTTGTGCCTATCCTGAAGTAGCTCTTTTACTTCCAATTAATTGATTGGACTGTGAGTGCCATGTCAATATTCTAAAAAGAACAGCTCTTCTGTGACCATGGTTTCTGCACATTTTTAACGCTGACCAAATAGCTAGCAGTAAGAAAATTTCATGGTAAACTTTTGCAGGCTGGGATGAAAAGAGAGGTGACTAAAATATATCAGTTATCAGGTCCAGTTGTTCTGCAGCTGACACAACTAGATGCAGATCGACCCCTCCAAAGTTTGGGCCATTGATAGATGCACTAATGATAAGTGTGATGTTGTTCCCAACATTTTCAGCCTTCCATTGGATCATGCTTATGTTGAACTAGCAAATATATCCGTGCATTGTAATGGGAGAAAAAAACTACTACACATTAATGCGAAACGATAATGTATATGGTACATATCTACTTATGTTGCATGCTTTTATAATTTATTTTATGATGACCGTCACATCCATAATATAAGTTAATGCTGACAATAAATAATAATATCCTATTAAACCTGTATCGAATTAAAATACACATTGGTATATTTTTTCATCCGTTGCCAAACGCATAATTATTTAGATATAAATATATCACAATTTTGTAACTTTTTCATACTACACATGTGTTTCTATGACTCAATATTGACCTTTGTAGCTTTTTTTATCCATCATACCAACCTCCGTAATTTTTTTTTGTCGATGTGTTAGGATTGGTCTGTCTCGCCAATAATTATGATAAGAGATCTCTCTTGATTTTTCATATGGCAGCCCTGGTCAGGAATTACATAAATACATTTGTTTAGATTTCGTTAGGCAATAATTTGCCCAAGATTCCAGTTCACGAAACAATTAGTTGTGCCATTGACTAATCCATATTTTAATAAAAATAAGTTTTGTTTCTTATCAAAACTACATCAGATGGTATAAGGTATAATCTTTCTCCTCAAAACTTAATGCGCAAACAAACATAATAAGTGCTGAAAAATAGGGGTTATGCTCCGTGCTTGCCTTGGGCAGGAACCGGACAATGAAAAGTTAGTGAATGCTTCTTATCAAAACTACATCAGATGGTGTAATCTTTCTCCTCAAAACTTTATGCACAAACAAACATATTAAGTGCTGAGAAGTAGGGGTTGTGCACGGGGGCTTGCCTTGGACAAGAACCGGACAATGGAAAGTTAGTGAAGGCTTTGGGAACACCGACGATGAGGACATCCTCCTCGTACGCCTCGGCCACCTCCGCGTATTCCAAGTCTGTCTCTAGCACGTTCTCGGTCATCGCCGAACCTATATGCATGCAACGTATGCAAGGATGATTTAACACGCCTATAGACAAAAGCACAACCTAACAAGATTCATAACATCTATGGATAGATCATATTTTTATGAAGCTAACAAAACTGGAATGACATTTTTCTAATTTTTCTATGATTTTGGTGAATTTTGCAAGATCTCTGTTTTTATAGAAAAGAGAAAAACGAAGGAAAAGGAAAAAGGCTTGAGTAGGTTTGGTCCAGCTCACAAAGAAGCCGGTCCAACTGCACGGATTCGGTTCAGGTCAAAAAAGAGGCACACTCGGATTTGGACATTTTACATCAGGAACTCCGATCTATTTTAAAAACTATTAAAACCCTCTCACATTTTTTTCTCTCAGGCATCTTTACATTTAGAACCCCGTATTTCTTTCTATTCTGTTCGCCACTCCTAATCTCGGTTTGACTGACGGACAGTTGGGACATGGGTGAGCACAGGAGACCGAGCGGTGATTGGACAGGGCCGGAAAAAAAAATATGCAAGAAATTTTGCTTATTTAGTATTAGTATTATGTATAGATATAGATTTTAGATTGTGTATATGCATATTATTATTTATGGAGCCATCGAATTCAAAACAAAAAATTTTGCTCCTTAGACTTTGTGTTTATATGTTTATTATTATTTTTTATTTGCATGTTCTAATTTATTTAACGAACTTCTTCTGCTCTGCTCTGTTCTGCATACTACAGTAGAAGTGTAGACCAGAACAGTGTCAAATTGTCAATGGTAAAGCTACCAAATTCTCAATCCAACATCAACCATCGGTGCCAAGCAAACAACCTAAATGCCAAGCAATAATTAAAAATCCAATCTTTAGGCTTTAGGGAGAAAAAATGTTTCGGATAAAAAAAAAGCGGATCAAGCCGGGTTTTTGGAAAAGCCCTAAAAATCCAATCTTTAGGCTTTAGGGCCTGTTTAGGTACCGAATTTTTTGGCAAAATGACACTGTAGCAGTTTTCGTTGTTATTTGACAATTAGTGTCCAATCATAGTCTAATTAGGCTTAAAAGATTCGTCTCGTGGATTTCGTCTAAACTGTGTAATTAGTTTTATTTTTTATTTATATTTAATACTTTATGCATACGTCTAAAAATTCGATGTGATGGGGAATCTTGAAAAATTTAGCATTCCCAGGCCCAGTTTAGATCCGAATTTTTTTGCAAAAAACAACTGTAGCGTTTTTCATTGTTATTTGGCAATTAGTGTTCAATCATAGTCTAATTAGGCTTAAAAGATTCGTCTCGTGGATTTCGTCTAAACTGTGTAATTAGTTTTATTTTTTATTTATATTTAATGCTTCATACATGCATCAAAGATTCGATGTGATAAGAAATCTTAAAAATTTGGCAAAATAAAATGGAACTAAACAGGGCCCAGTCGAAAGACTCGAAACCCGAACTACCACTGTCACTGTGGATTCAGTCTGCAGTTAACTAGTGTGTGTCGCGTAGCTTGCTTTGATCATCTGACACCTCCAATCTCCATCCATATCAGTCGCTCAACTCGAAGTGTCACGGGCGTCGCGTGCGTCCACCTTGGCCTGCTCCTTGGACACGGACTCCGCCGCCGCCGCCGCCGCCGAGGCATCCTCGTCCTCTCCGACGCGAACGCTGTTGCCACTCGCTCCCGTGCCAGTGGCCCCCTCCTTGAACCTCGCGTAGATGTCCCCCGCGTAGAACGCCCGCGTCCTCCACGCCAGCGCAAGCGCGACCGCCGAGGCGGCCACGGTGACCGCCGCGACGACGAGGAACGACTCCCTGTAACAGCGCTTGCCGACGCACGTGACGCCGCCGCCCGCCTTCCCGGGCACGACGACGGCGCCCTGGCGCGCGGCCTCCCGGTCGTACATCCGGCCGGCGACGCGGACGTTGAGGATGTAGGACCCCACGGGGCTGGCCACGTTGCCGACGTTGTAGAGCGTGGAGTAGTACCTGAGCCCGAACAGCTCGGAGATGATGGCCAGGATCATCGGGTACGCGGCGCCGAAGCAGAACCCGACCAGCACCGACGCCGCGTACAGCGACCCGGGCACGCCGAACGCGATGAGCAGGTGGCCCGGGACCGTGAGCAGCAGCACGCCGGCCACCAGCAGCGGCCGCGGGATGCGGTGCCGGGACAGCAGCGCCTCCGAGGCGAACCCCGCGGTGACGCGGCCCAGGTAGTTCCAGATGCTGATGAGGGAGACGAAGGTGGCCACGCTCCGCTGCGGGTAACCCAGCGACTCCCCGATCTGGCCCATGTTGTCGATCGCCGTCAGCGTGCCGCCCACCCCGAACACCGTCGCCGTGAACAGCAGCAGCATGTCCACGCTCACCAACGCCTGCAGGATCGTGTAGTCCTCGCCGCGCGGCGGCGGCCGAAGCGAAAGCAGCAACCTTTGGCCCGCCGTCGTCGCTGGTGGTGGTACTGGTGCTGCAGGTGGCTGTTTCGTGGCCGCGGGCAGAGCCGGCGTCGCTGCAGCTTGCGCTTGGGCTTCAGCTGGCGCGTTGGTGATGTTGGACTTGAACAGCGCGGCCTCCTCGCGCAGGACGATTCCGAGCGGAAGCAGCAGCATGAGGAACACGACGGCGGCGCTGACGGCGTACTCTGCCCGCGTGAACCGGAACCGCTTCTGGAGGACGATGGCGACAAGGAGGTAGGCGGCGAGCGCGAGCGACACGTAGAGGAAGGCGCAGAAGGCGCGGTACTCCCGGCGCGCCGCGGCGGGCGGGCGCGGCGCGCGTATGATCCGGATGGTGGCGAGGAAGGCGACGGAGACGGCGGCGGGGAGCCATCCGACGAGGAGGATGAGCGGCCTGGTGTCGCCGCCGCCTCCGGGGCCGTAGAAGGCGAGGTAGAGCTGGGTGAAGATGGCGCCGCTGAGGCCGACGAAGCCCTTGAGGAGGCCGAGCATGACGCCGCGGCTCTCGGGGAAGTTCTTGACGCAGGTGACGAGCGCGCCGGTGTTGGCGAACGCCTGGGAGTTGGCGCCGACGGCGATGTAGAGGCAGACGAGCCAGAGCGGCGGGGTCCGGTGGCCGGCGCGGCCCGTGACGGAGAGGTAGAGCATGAGGTATCCGCCGAGGTTCATGGCGGCGCCGATGGCGAGGACGAGCCACGGCGGGGCGAGCTCGGCGACGAGGCCGGCGTGGATGCCGACGTTGGCGCCCACGTCCTTGAAGAAGCCCACGGTGTTGAGCTGCTCCTGCGTGTACCCCAGCGTCGACTTGATGTCCTTGGAGTAGATGGCGAAGATGTAGGTGGCGCCCGCCGCCGACATGATGAGGAAGGAGCCGTACGCCATGAACCACCGCCCCCGCAGCACCTGCGCCGCGAACGCCGCCATGATGAGTGGGCGATGTGGATGGGGATGGAGATGGGAGTGGAGTGGCCCCGCTCTCGCTCTGTCTCGTTTTGCTTTGGGGGCCGGGCCGGGCTGCTGCTAGCTGCCAGCTGCCTGCCGATATGGGCCGTGGGCGTTAGTGGTGGTAACGCGTATTGGTTGGCGAGATCGCACCTGCACGAAAACAAAGGTTGCTACTGATCCATACTGGCTGTGTGTTTAGTTCAAGAAATTTGGAAATTTGGCTACTGTCACTTTTATTTTTATTTGGCAATTATTATTCAATCATGTACTAATTAGACTTAAAACGTTCGTCTTGTGATTTTCAACTATACTGTGCAATTAGTTTTTTTTTTCGCCTACATTTAATGCTCTATGCATATATCACAAGATTCGATGTGATAGCCCCTGTAACACTTTTTTGAAAGTTTTTGGAACTAAACAGATGCAGAGTGCAAACTGAACTGTCCCATCACCATCACCATCAGCATCAGGAGGATAGCCGTCATCCTCTCCGGAGCCCTGATTTGGAACGCATGAACGACGATCCTCTTCGATATGTGTTTGTCCGCTCTTGTTTCGGTGTACTACGCTGTGCCCTTCATTTCCATTGACCGACTCGTCTCCATCACTCCATGTTTGCTGTCAATTTTGGCTCCATTTGTTATCTCACCGCTAGCGCTAGCCTCTGCTTGTGCAGTTGACAGATAACTGAAGCCTCAAGTTACCTACTTTCTCCAACTTGAAACCAAAAATCAACCGTGAAATGAACTCTATGGTAGTTGACAGATAACCATGTGATCCCGGATGTGATGTGGAGTGAGCTGAGCTCTGGTGGGGTGGTCCTGAAACTGAAAGTTGGTCTTGGAATATGGATGGCGCCGTGCATGATCCCGGCGGATGCGTGGGAATTGAAGTCGAAGCCCATGCGCGGTGCCACGTCAGCCTGCTACTCAGCCCACTCAATACTGTGCTCAGCCGGGCTACCTTCAAGAAGCCTTGCCCGGCCCGGCCTAGCTAGACAGTGAATGAATGAATCAGGAATCCAGGATTGCTACTCCTACTTGCTAGAGCATCATATCTGCTCATGGTTTGACTGATGAAACCAAACAGGCAACAGCAACATATGATGGTCTTGTCTTGTTACACTAGAGATAAAACAATGAATGAAGTGGCCTGCCGGTGATCCAAAACTCAACTGACTCAGCCCCTCTCTCATGAGCTGAGGATAAGCATCGTCTCTATGTATAAACACTCCATATAACAGTAGGTTCGGTTTGTCTGTAGTTTGATCAATGAGCGAATTCATTATTCATTATTCATCATCGAAGCAAATGGAAGCCACTGTCAAGCAGCAAGGCATATATATCCAATTCGCCCACCTGACAAGATGCTGGGCCGAATAGTTTGTACAGGCCGGGGCCCAAGGAAGATGGGGATCCGTCACCAGGGGAGAGAGAGAGAGAGAGAGGAGCCAGAGTGCAGGCAACAGGTTGTCAAAAATCGTTGAATCGGAGGCCTTTTAAGTACGGGGTGGCTAGTGCGCAGATATCCGGACGGCCCGCGCTTGCACCTTGTCGAGCGCCGCGCCCGCTAGGATTCCCACGCTATGTTTCCCACGTTGCACCTCGATTCGCGCACCCACGTGGGCCCCGCGCCCACCCGGACGACTTGCCCAGCTCGGGCCGCACGCCTGCACATGGGGACCATCTGCGCCCGCTCGGCGGCACCCTAGCAGCTGTAGTAGGTCGCTGCGACCGGTGAATCCCATTGCAATATGTGCAACACCAGATCTATATTTGCAACATCTAGATGAAAACACTTGCAACATAAGTTTGGAACAAGCTGAAACATTGCAACATTCGTCTAAAACACTTGCAAAATACCTAAAAACACTTGAAAGCCATTGCAAACAGATGTAACATCTAGATGAAACACTTGCAACATACGTATGAAACACCTGAAACGCTTGGAAGATACGATTGCAGCATGCATGTATATGCAACATCCAGATCTACTTTTGCAACATCCAGATAAAACAATTGAATCATGCGTCTGAAACACTTAGAACATACGCTTGCAGCATGCATGTATATGCAACATTCAGATCTACTTTTGCAACATCCAGATGAAACAATTGAAACATGCATCTTAACACTTGAAACATACGCTTGCAACATAAAACATACGCTTGCAGCATACACTTGAAACACGGCAATTGCCGGCGGATGGGAGGCCGAGGCCGATCAATTCTGGGCATCGAGGTGGGAGCCGACGGCGAGCGGCGACGCGCGAACACCACCAGCACCGGCCACGCTCGTGGGTGCCCTTGGCTCGGCCGGGGAAGACTTGTGGCGCCCCGGCACGTGCGAGACATCCCGGCGGCATTGGGGTTGGGTAAGAGGCGAGAGGTGCTGCGCGAACTGAGGAAGGAGGCGGTGTGGTCGGCTTGGTGGAGGAAGGAAGCGGTGGTGGTGGCGTGGGGCTGCTGCTGCCAGCGGACGTAGACCGAGAGATTGAAAGGGCGAGAATCGGGAGAGCACAGGCAGTACGGCGTGGGATGGCGGCAGGGGTGTGCAGCACGAGCTAGAGCAAGCAGACGGCACGGTGGAGTGGGGAAATTTCAGCAGTGGCCCTCGCGTATCCCAACAGTTGGCTCGAATGTTGAGAAGTGAGTTAGTGACAATTAAAAGATTATCTTTTCTTTTACCTTCAACATATAATATAGAGTTTCCTGCGGTACTCAGTTATATTTTAGTACTGATACTGTTCAAGGGAGAACATTGTGTTCTGTGGAGCACACCACTGAAACTTATTGGTGCCCTGCACAACGACTTATGGGCAACTGCTGCTGGTGCTTAATCACAAAAAGAATCTCTGTTCAGTTGGATATTCCGCTATCCTTTTGTGACTTTGGTATGATCATCGTATTTTTCTCATAAATCTGTATGCTATGCTTTGATCTCCTATGTTTTTTTTTTTTTGCAATACTGCTGTTTTATGCTTGTTTGAATTTTGCTGCTCATCACTTGGTTCAGAGGAAGATGGGCCCCGGAGTGATTCTGTGGGCTGCTATATCATCCACCAAAGCATGTGAAATCACCTGTACGTGCAGTATATTGATCCAATATATACATATGCACTTTGTTCGTTTGCAGCTCGTTGATTCTACTCACTCTAAAGAGAGACAAAAGAAAGTTGTTGCTGCTGGTATGTGGATCTTCTATGTTGCTGGTGAATAGCCAATGGGCAGGATCTTGGTCAGGGGCCCAATTGAGATGCCAGCGGTGAGAGGTGGCTGCGAGGGGGTTGTTACCTTCATAAAAAAAATGGAATGCAATTCAATGTCAAACCATCTTAAATTTAACTAGATGTACAAAGAATTGTTCGAACATGTACAACTTTAAATAGATATATTATAAAGAATATATTTTGTGACAAATCTAATCATATCTATATTTAATATGATAAATACTAATATTTTTACATAAATTTGATTAGATTTTATATCGTTTGACTGCTACAGTTAGAGATGGCCAACGGGCTGGCCCGGCTCGTCCCAGCACGGGCACGGGCCAGGCACGGCCTGTAGGGGGTCGGGCCGGCACAGCACGCCATGCCACCCGGGCTGTGCCTCTTCGGGCCTCGTGCCTAGCCTTCGGCCCAAGCACTGGGGCGTAATTCGTGTCGTGCTAGCCCGCTAAGCATGGCCAAATCTACGGGCCGTGCCGGCCCAAAGCCCGGTGACCTTAAGGCATCTCAAAATGCTTCTCTTTCAACACTTAGCACAAATTCATTCATTCAAATTTTAAAATCTCAATTCACAGTCACAATCACAATTGTTCATAGATTCAAACTTCTAAGTAAATGACCAAAAGACTCATTCATAATCACAATTGTTCACAAATTCAAACTTCTAAGTAAAATGACCAAACTCAGTTACTCAGCCACAAATTGATCACATATTCTAACTTCTAAGTCAAGAACTTAGCAAACTCCAAATGACCAAATCCAACAAAACAAAATGCACCAAAGGACATAAGATAAATGAGTTGTTTGTGCAATGCTGCCTCATTAAAAATCTTTCTAGGTAAAACTCATCCTTGTGAAAAACCCTAAAAAGAGAAAAAAATGCAGCACAACTCTTAAACTAAACCATTGTTCAAAGGTCTCACAGTCACAGTCTCACAGATGACAGATACAGATAACACTCTCCTCTCTCAAGTCTCAACTCTCAAGTCTCACACTAACTCGCTAAGTACCAGCACCAGCCCTAGTTCCCACTCCCCATATAACACTCTCCTCTCTCAAGTCTCAACTCTCAAGTCTCACACTAACTCACTAAGTACCAGCACCAGCCTCAGATAACACTCTCTCTCAAGTCTCAACTATCAAGTCTCACACTAACCAGCACCAGCCCCAGATGTACCACCAGCCCCAGATGTACTAGTAGCCCCAGATGTAGCACTAGCCCCAGTTGTACCAGTAGCAGCCCCAGATTCATCTTCATCAAGATACAAATTCTTGAAGGAGTCTTCCAACTCTTGGTTGTAAACAGCATGCTGTAACCTTCTTTCTCCTAACTCTCAATCCTTTATGCAGGTCAACATCTACACAGTTTTAGGCAACAAGCGTCGTCGTTGCTCTTCAATTATCCTTCTTGTCAAGCTGAAACATGATCCTAAAGAGACAGTAGAAATAAGAACTGACATAATATCTCTAGCCATTGTAGATATGATTGGATAGGTTAGTTTGTGGTCACGCCGCCAAAGAAGTAAATCAAAATTATCCTCATATGCAGTGACATTGTCACTGTCCAGATAAATTGAGAGCTCACAAACAGCAGAACCAGATAAAGATGAAGTGGGGGCAGAGGCAGGAGAAGGACCAACAATACCGGATCTAGGGCCTCTAAAGATTCTTCCCCATGCCTATTTTTTCTTACCTGTATGACTTGCTGGATGTGCAGCCCTTTGAGACCTAGCTGCACCAAACTTTCTCTC